ATGAAATCTCGTTAAGTAATCATGTAATCATATCATCGTTTCCTCCTGTCTCACATCTGAAATATTCAGTGCTTGAATACTGTCAACCACATTCATTTATATTACCAATTTTGAGTGGTTACGAATTCCTTCTCATAAATTTTCTGCGTTTCTCTCAAACCTAAACAACTAACACAAATTCATCGATTAATCATTAGATATGATTTTATTATGCAATCATAACAGAATATTTTATGAGGTGGCATTCACATAACACGGATAACCATGTCTGAACAATTTATGTGTCATAACAGTATGGAGGTAGTCACATAATTGTGTGACTTAGTTCATGTAATTAGCCTGGTAGTACCAGAAGCAATACGTTGTGCTAGGAAGATTATCTATATTCAATTAGTAAGACAGTCGTACGAAGTAAGATATATTGTAGTGGAATGGTAGCCTTCAATATTTCCGAAATTTCACTCCTTGGCTTAAAGATTGCACTGCTGATTTCAGTCCCAGCTTCTCAATGCATTTCTCTTGATGACATCTACTATGAATAATATCTTGATATTCAACAGTTACTCTAATACATGGATATACTTACAGCAAATAGTAGTGAATGGAAGCATCATCAATAAGATTTGTACTCGTGCAATAATCGAATACGTCGTCCAGATGTCATCATATAAAACATAACAGGCTTTATTTGAGAATATACATCACAGTTAAATTGTACTTGTGACGACGCCTTTCTATCATTGTTTTGTTGATGCTTCAACTTGTATAGTGTCTGTTGAAAAGGTGACAGAGCTTTCATGATTATTTGAAAGGCGATTTCATGTAATTATCAAGAACTATTATTTACATTCCATTTTCATTGTCTTCCGATTCGACAGGTGGTGAGTAAGAGATTATTGAGAAATACATTGGGCTTCAATATCCAGTTTTCGATTCTTAGTGTGTGTATCTGTAGTGATCTTTGATAAATTAATTCTGAATTATATATGTTTATGGCATGAGGGAAATGGTTGTTTGACGTCTTGATCAACTAGGTAATCATCCTGTAAGAGGGAACTACATTTGAGATGATATTGAGTAGGATGGCGTCATCATAATTACACGGACCACTTTTGTTATGTGCATATTGAATATTCGAATTTGTCTGTCCAAATAATTTGACAGTGAGTTCCAGCAAAATCTTATGCTTCAAAGATCACTTGTAATTAAGCAGTATGATTGTTTAACGTGATTTCTAAATACAGGTATTATGTTGTTAAATTGTCGTCTCTAGTAGTTTCCAAATTTCTCTGTCGTTCATGCAGGTGTGTAGACGAATGACTTCAGAAAGAGTTCTCATGCGAATTAATCTGTTATCGAATATTTATTCAAGAATACAGATATGTTTTATCTGGTAATGAAGTCAATGAAATGATGTAATTATCGTGTGGTTTATGTTCTGTACAGAAATGATTCAATAGTGTATGGGCGTAAATTCGTGAAACTAGTGAAGCTTTGAAAACAAATATCGTGACCGTGTTATTGAAAAAGAGAAAACAAATGAATTCAGAAGAAATTTTGGTAGGATATAAGTCATTAACGAAAACAGTTGAATCATGGATTTCTTAACAAATCCTGAGGTGATAGATTTTTCACACACGCCTACTTTATTTCTCTGCCATCACTACTATTGTGATTCATTTTTATGCGTCTATGCATACTGATCATCAATGATGAAAATATATAGATTAATTCACTGCAGAATGTGAATGTCATCTTGCATAGTAATATGAATCGTTTATTTGTACCCTAAATATTTTCATTCTCCAATCAACATTCTACTTACCTTTAAACATTCATCAACAGATTGTAAGTTCATCATTCAAAACTGAACACTTGTTACTACTTAGTATTTCTGGACTATTTGAGTGATTCTAAGCAGAATGTGAATATTCAGATTAAATTGGAGACATTTAACGCAGTTGATATTGGATTTTTGTCGGATTATTTCTACTTAATTAGCCGTTTACGTGTATTTCAATATTCCGTGGATAATGACATGATCGTGTTTTGTGAATAACTTTTATTCTCAAATCAACGAATAGATGAACTGTTTACTAGTGTTAAAGAGGTAGATGTTGAATCATTTGTACTTCAGGGAATTCAAGCAACAGATTCTTGATCGGTCTGTCACAAGTAATACATTTTAAAACTGCAAGGAGTTTTAGTAAAAGGAAGCATATGAAGTAGCTATTGATGAAAAATGAAGATATAGTAGAATGGGGAATTAATTTCCAATTGGTCATCGTATATCAGATTCATTCTTTGTAAAACTTATTTTCAGTCATTATGAAGGGAGCAGAAAAGCAGATTTCCTATGCTTCGTCATTTCTATCTCAATGTAATATATCAATAATTGACACAGTGAAGTTCTATTGTTTTCAAACCATCGACTATACTATGGAAGTGTTATTTATTATTTGTGAAGCTGTAGGTATTTTTGATGAACTCATATAACCGTTATCTTGTCGATAAAATGCAACTTTTCTCAGTGTATTCTGTTGAAATGTTTGTCTATCATTAACTACAGTCACGTATTTCAGTAAAAAGTATTTTCTCAAATTATCACAATCAAATTACAGCGTATATAAGTAGGTTTTAAAATGTTCCAGTGAATTACTTGAACCAGTTCTATGACATTTAAAATGTACAGAATTGATAATGTTGAAGTGGAACTTCTACGGAAGTAAAACAGAGTTATTTTGCATCTTCCAAGTCGGTTGATGCTGTCATTAGTTTCTTCTTATTGATGAATAGTGGACATGGGAGCTGGTCGGCAGTTCTCTGTAGGCAGCACTGTAGTTTTCAGATACGATGAGCTTACCGACAATTCGATAGAATGCGTTCCATGCCTCTTGAGTGACATGAAGGTCACTTAAGTTTCCGTCACTAACAAAGCTCAATTTGAGAACTTTCAACAATCACAAGAGACAAAAAATGTGAATATTAACCATACTGTACTACAGTAGCTTTCGTAAGGTGGAAGTCATCCACATACTAAGAGCATAATGCGATACAGTGTGAAAGTTTCTCATGTTTACATCTGAATAGTTTTGAAACTCACAGAAGTCAAATCGAATATCTCACTGATGCTTCAAAGTTACAAAGAGTCGTTAATTCTGCATGTAATTCTACGATTATTTTTCTTTTATATGACTGAGAAAATCTCAATTTGTTCTTAGTGGTAGATCGGCAGTTGGTTTAGTACGATTTTCTGCTGGGTAATGCAGTGTAGAAATGAGAAATAAAATTAAGTTATCGTTGTCTTACGCCTATGAAACGACCAGTAGTCAATGAGATACGAATATCTGAGAGAATCTGGTGTTTATCCAGTCAAATAACCATGTTGGCCTCCTTGAATAATCTGTTTAACACATTGAGACAGTATTATGTGACCAGACGAAATCAATAATTAATACTGATCATTCACCACTTATCTGCTGATTCAACACCATATGACAGGCTGAGATCAATTAAATACTGCATAACAAAATAAGACTATGTCTAAACATGTCAGCATCTAACAAGACCATACATCAACTGGTTTCTTTTCAATTTGTAGAGAATTCAACAATCAAACTTAAGAAGATGAATTTCAACTTTGAATATAGTCTTTCCTAACTTTATCAATTATGTTTGTTACCACAAATGTAATCAATCTTTCTTGTAACCTGACAATGATTATGTGAATTTGTTTTTCGAAAGCACACGGAGGAAGTGAGTATTGATTATGGACAATGAATTGTGTTGGAAACATCATCCCCTAAATGGAACTGTCTTTTCATCAGATATATCCAAAAAGCGAACTGATATGGAATTACGTGCTACCACTGAGCTCATGTTTCACACGTATATTAACTGCTTCCAGATACAGCAAAACCTTCATCGGCTTTCTTACAGAGTACAGGTGTTCCATGCCTATATTCCACACCAAAATTTGATATTAACGTGCAGCAATATGTTGTTGTTTAATGAAACGAATTGGACACTTCGAAACGTAGAGTCAGGCTGAAGTAGGATATTTCTCCCACCACTCAACAGTCTGCATGGATAATTTGCCGTCTCACCTAAATGTCATCTAAAATATTTCTGTTTTATTTACAGTAAATGATTAGCTGGATATGTCACTGACACACAGAGATTTACCTCAAATCATTCATGCAAGCATGGTGGGGATATTTTTATAGTTCTAAGATTGATGAATTTTTTATATTATGCTACCTACTGACTGAATCGTGAATCATTTTTATCAATCCGTACGTTAAAATTTTGTTTCTTTTCTTCAAGGAAAACTTTGTTAGTCCACTTGTCCTCATGTTTCTCAATTCGTTTGATACTTTGAATTTTTCAATTTATGTTTACATATTCCAGGATTATTTTTTGTTTTTCTTTACATTTTTATTAATATAATTTTTGTTTGAATCAGACTTCCTTATTTTGACTTTAAGCATTCAAATAATTCTACCAGTCTAGTAGAATAGAAATTATGCAAATGAATCTCGGCTTGAATAGGTATGCTCTGTGTCAAAATATTACACTCGGTGTGTATTCATCTCGTCAATTGTTTCGTCAGTCTATCATATTCTGTCACATATTCGTTGTCGACTTAAAATATCGAAATTTTGTGTAAAAGCGAAGTTGATTTAAAATCAAATTATGACCTCATGGAAGTGATTCAACTCGTAATTATCCTTCCATTGATACTTGACAAATGTGAAAACATCATTGAACACAGTCAGTGAGGAAATTAAAATTAAAGAAATCAGTTTCAAAAAGCAGTACTGTCCGTTTGAGAGACCTTTCTAGTCACGATGACTAGATTATGCACGGAACAATTACGAATTTCATAGTACATAGTTTGAAACACTTATGTCGTAAGCGTTTGCATTTGATGCATCATCAGCACGACTACGGATGACTGTATGAAGCTTTCGAATTTCAAGAATTTTCTGTCATGTTAAATGTATTTTCCTAATGCACAGGGAAATCTACACTTGGTGAGTCTCACTCACTCATTAATGTAACAATCAAACTCACTTTTAGTGATGCTTGAAAGACTTCATATATATACTTGAAATCTTTTCAGTTAAATTTCTGTTAACCAGAGGTTTCACTGGAGAAAATTTCCTATGAAAACCATTGATTGTGACTGCGCGTATTTTTTCACATTCAATATGTATGGGAGGTATTTGTTCTCGGTGTAACTATTACCAATTAACTTGATACCTTCAACATCGTTAGGTGAAACTCCTAAGTACATAAAAATTCAATGTGTTTTTGTTGGTTACATGTCACAATTCTCTTAGTAACTCTCTTCTTCTTTTCAAATCATTTCAGACTTAGTAAAATAAAAAACTCTATTAATTATTTGGTCACGTGGTGTAACAAAACGGTCTTACAAGCTTCGTGCAGTTCGCACAAACTTTCAGTTTATATCTCTGTAAAATACATTTCCGTGCAAATCGTAAGCTGTACTGGTTGGGGAATTCCATTTTTCAGTTACAATGAAAATGACTATTTCTCAAGTTTCTAACAGTCATTGTGATTTTAACGGCTTTTCTATTTATTAGATGACTGTAAGTTATTGTGTCAAATACTCTGATATAGATGTTTATGTTGAATTTGTTCATTTGACCTATTCCACTTTCCATATTCCCCACAAAGACACGAGAATATGTTAGTTTTTACTACGATATAAGTTTGTTCATTACCTGGCCAACAGGATCGTATTTCAAGTGCCTGATAAACAGATACAGAGATTTAAATTGAAGGTAACACATAATTCAAGCAACAGAGTATCATTTGGTCCTCTAGTTACTCGACTAACATCTAGACTGCCACTGTGCTGGGTACATATACTAAAACCTCAATTTACTGAGAACTCTGATGTTACCACAATAACGATAATCATTCCCGCAACTTTCTTTCACCCCTGTGGTGACCAGGATTTAGGTCGCACTAGTTGTTTTTAGTTTGAAATTTTCAAACGTATAACAACTGTTCAATATCGACATTGGGAATATATTCAGAGTGGAGTACATTTCATGTGAAATGTTATTAATTGAATGTCCCTTCATTTTAATATGGGTACAAATTTCAAAAGAAATCCTCAGTTGAATGATTTATCTCCCGTAAGTGTGAATGCTGTCCAATTACACAGGTAATAATTGCTGTTTAGAAGGAGCTGATAAATCACAATTTATATTCAATTACTGTTTGAAATTTAGTTTTTTACCAAACTTTTACTGAAAGGGAATAATTACAAACAGGGTGAGTATCAACCCTTCATGAAATTACCTAAGATTACTTCGTTGACTTCAATAAGAGAAGTTGTGAATCAACCTTTGCATAAAGTATTTTAATATGAATGAAGTGTATATATACATGATAAATGTACTGTAATCTAATTGTCGTCTGTTCATTTAACCAAAGAGTCCGAATCTACAAAGAGGGTTGTGGAGGAAGTTAATGCCAGCATGGAATAGTAATAATAAGAGAATAGTAATAATCAGTTCAGTCTGATACAACATTTTGAGAAATTTTACTCTTTAAATGCAATTCTGGAGATTAAAATCAAATTTTGTAAGAAAGAGAAGTGCTTATTTAATACTTGTCAATAGAATGCAACTACTAACGTCCGTTTACAAAAATAGTTCTTGAAGCAAGCCAGAAATGTAAGTCTTTTTTCTTGAAACTCTGGAAACACACTTGGTATTCTTTGCAATTAAATTTTTGTTGGAGGATGAGGGATCACTTTCTAATATTATGACGAAAATACTCAAAATCGAAATGTCACTTTCAGTGGCTCTTGACTTGATGTACAATTAATGTAGACACATACACATACCAAACACTTGTAATCGAAATGACACAACTCGTATGCCAGATATATTGGGATATTCAATGAATAATAGCGGGAAGAGAAAAATATCATGAAGCAAATTATGATGTGACTGTAGGCATTAAATTGTTCTCTAAACATTGTCGAGTCACCAATATTCTATCACTGTGAGGTATATACCCAAAGATGATATGGAATTATATTCTACCAAAGTGGCCAAATTCTATACTTACATGAACATGCAGACACACCTTCATATTCAACTTTAGCTTGGTGTGTATATCATTCTCAGATAAGATGCAGTTGCAGCACTGTAAATATATACTATGGAGAATCACGGTAAATGTACACACCTGGTGTCTTAGAGACTTAACAACATGCAAGGACGGTTTCAATGAACAACTGTTTTGTGTGACTTCCCCCTCAGATTCTACATTTATTATTTCTTGATAATTAACTCAGATAGAATCCATTTTGTACTGCCTTCAGGTGAACGAGAATTATTATTGCATTACTACAGAATGTGCTGCACATTTTACGATATTAACCAAAATTTATATTCAAAGGTCTAAAGGCAAGTGAGTGCATTCGATAATGTGGAATTTCACATACATGTGATTAATTTATTTCAGACAATAATCTTACAGCTTCCTCTCCTTTCATTTCCACGTTCTGTTTGAACAATCATCTGGGATATGAAGAAATCAGTGACTTATAGCAAAGTATTTGTGTGATCAACGAAGCCTCAATAAGTCATCAGAAGATAAATAACACTAACCTTTACAGCCTGAACGAATTATTGTCATGCATTCCACACAATAATGTGTGAAATAAACTGGAGCGTTTTTCTAATGGCAAAATCATGGAGTAGGTATTTAATTAAACAGCATTAACAGAATGCAGAATTGCATGAAGTGTTACAGTATATTTAAAACACCACAGAAATTATCTTCATACAATATGTACTATCGTTGTCAAAATGAATTATTCTTGTCAAGGAGCCCTGAAATTATAGTGTGTAGAGCCATAAAAGCTTAAAGTGACCATCTTTTCAGTGGAAGTATAGCATAAGTGTTAACTGTGGAAGTCAGAAAACTGTTAAAATGCTTGATGGGGTCAACTAATCTGGAGTTCTTCTCACTTATGAACGTGTTTGATACTTTCTCACAGTTATCATGAATCTCTGTTAACAGCCTAATAAATCCACAGTGTGTTTTACAAAGCATTCATCAAATGTACTCGGACCGTAAACACCGGATTTCTCTACTATGAACTTAGTATTTTACAAGAGTAACTATAGTAAAGAAACTGTCATTTCCATGATAACTCATTATTTGATGCATCACACATTTAAACATTATTACCAGTTGTGACAGTTGATATAGTTATATGAAAGAAGAAATCTTGTCCAAATCACTGTCCAGGGAATAATACTTTTGCACCGTGTGATATGTCCAATAAACGAGCTGAATATGGGAAAATAAATGCTGCAGTGTTCAAGGTTTACTGATGTACATGGTGATTTACGGTTGACTGTATGAAAGCAGCAGCATATCTGAATGTTGCCTTAACATTTCTCCGTTTCAGCTTTTTCGGTTGAATGTAAGACCCTGTTTATACATTGATGAAACCTGATCAATAGCTTACTAAGTTTTGATTGAAACTTTCTTTTGCTAATCTCACATAAATCCACAATCAACGCAATATTTGATACTATCGCCTCGGCGATGAATGCAAGCAAGATGAATGGTTATGTTGATAGATTCAGGTTAACGAAAGCAATCAACTTTCTCAAAGTCAAACTCATAATGAATGACAGTCTTCCTCAGGTAACAGAGTATTTCGGTTCACACTGAACTCTGTTAATTGCAAGATGAAGATGACTTATTTGAAATCTGTGAACCTGAGTTGTCATTACCACCATAATCTTCGCCCAACGTATGTTGAAAACGTATGCGAATGAAGTGACTTGCCGTATTTGATTGATATAATGGGGTTTTCCATACACTTCCGAGAATTATTTGATGACTGCTACCATGTGGTATTTTCCCACTATTCTTGAGTTAAGCGAATAATATGCTTGTGAGAAATCATGAACTGAATGACTTGAAATTTGAAGTGATGAATGAAACAGGTTTCCAAAAGAAAGAACCTTACTGAGTGTTCACGTAAATCACATGATTTGACCCATACGAAGTATTTCAAGTTTGATACATCCAAAGCGCATCAGAAGTGAAACGGATTATGAATATTTTTCAATTTTTATACAGACGAAGATTGTAAGTGCCACAATCACTTTTGTTTTAAGAATCTGCTAGTAATATGTAAATTTGGTGTTTCATTGATGTTCAAAGTGATTTGACTCTACGAATACTGACATTGACGTGTTCCTTCCACTTGGATCAGTTTTCTTCCCATTGAGATGAAGTAATTGTGTGTCGACGTTTGCCCAAGTTGAAATAATAATAATAATTTAACAGGTAAGGAATTAAAAACAGTCACTTCAAAGAAAACTCTGATGATATTGTATGTAGTCAAAACGTATATACATAAACATGTGTTAAGATTATGTCTCACATTGTCATAAATGAAACTCTTACCTACTTCATGTAGCGCAGTAAATTCAATCTCCCTAAAAGGCTGAGAAATTTTAATTTGATATGGTATGCACATAACAAGAAAACGTGAGACTAAACTCAATGATTCCATTATGGATAATATTTATTTTGATAAAGTCTCCCAGTGTAATACAGTAATATTTACTGATGACTTGGAAATCTGGTGCACTGCTAGCTTGGATTTTAATCATTATGGCTGGTGATCTTCTGGCTAATTGTTAACTTGTAACATGCAGGCTGCATAGAATGCCACAACAAAAGTACTTACCAACTACTTGTAAGATCTGCCAAGATGCATATTATCACTGCCATAACCGGTGTCAGCGAAACTACTGATCATCGTGAGTGGACCTCAGCTGCAGATGGTTTCCTAAATATATTAAACATCTATGAAGCAAACAACGGTCATCTGGTAGAGATTTTCTTTAATTTCCAAATATTTATTCACAGGTAGTTGTATTGAGACTTTCTGAGTAAACGACATATGTCCATATGTCTACATTTGTTAAAATTTGTGACTTAGCATGCCTTTTTAACTAGACGTGTAAATCATGTTAATTCAGTTGAACAGTGGGAGTAGAATGCATTCAGTCCTGAAGAACTATGCATTTTACATCTGTGCTGCTCCTTGTTGGAGAAGAGCTAATCAGGAATACATGTAAAGTATGTATGATTTGAGAAAGCATACTCTATTGAACTTCAAGTGTGAATGAAAAGAAGATGAATTTCCATCTACAGTGTCAGGGCATCAATCAATATTGACTTCGAAAGTAATAATGATTACGCTATAATTTATATTACAGCGAATGTCAGTGAAGTTGGTTATATGGGAAGACGAGTTTTGCAGAAACATTTTACCACGAGAAATTTTCTTAAAAGTGTTGTTTGATATATTTTACAAACTAGTCTATAAGAGTAAGTAGTAAAATCTTATCAAAATGCATCGGTTATATAATTTAACACAATTTGTTACCTTACAGTTTGGCTCTATATGTTGCCATTTGAAAAACAATTTGCAAACCACTCAAATTACACATTAAGGCTGGACGGTAATATCAAAATCTTGTTGAAACTTACACGATGTTTCGACCATTTAGAGCCAAGTTATTTAGGAGTGTACCCTTAGACACTCAGCTCATAGGTTTGCGTCATATGAGAGCATGCTAATTCTAATAAAATACTTAGATGAACACATTGCACACAGAAACATGTGAGTCATTTACTAATTACGAAATATGGAGAGGAAGTGCACTATAGCTTCATTCGGGGAGAAAGTAAACTACCCTCATTTAGGTTAAATGAGACGACGTCTGCTATAAACACACTCGGATTATGACAATTTATGGAGGGTGAATGGGGTTTTTTGTGGTATTCAGAATGTGATTACTCCGGATATTCAGTGTACTTGACACAACATTTATATCTAGTACTTGATCCACTGTAGCAGACAAATATGAAGGAATTCGACTGAAAAATAGTATCTTGAGAGTTGTCTTCAGTAAACGTTTATATATAGACATATACTTATATATCATGTAAAATGTATTTTCAGGTAACAGTACTTCACATTATTTGAGATGTACTTTTTACAGCTGACAAAGAGTGAATTCATTCGATGCATAACTTGAACTTGAAAAATGAGAACTTTATTGAAAGTGAAATAATGTGCATTGTTAACATATTCTCACTACAATCTATGACAATAATTGGATTGAATCTTTATAAAGGACAATTCGGTAAGTTTAATGTTCCGTAATGTGTGAGACAGTCTCCAAGTCTTGATGTGCGTTAATTGAAGATTTTTATTCAGAATTTTCATTACACTAACCCGACAGGAGAACAATTATTCATGTGGTTCAATGTGACAGGAAACCTGTGAATATTATTTGTGAGATCAGACTATTTGTCTGATATCCCTTAAGAATGATACGGGTACATTAGTACAAGAAAGGAAGCAAGAAGCTAAGAATACTCACTTTAACGATGTTTTTACATTCTATGCACAAACGAAACTAATACAGAGTGAATTGAAGAACAATTGAGGAACAGACGTGATAGTGGGAATCAATGAGATGTTTAGTAAGATTACGTCACAGGATTTATGATACTGTTCCACCAAATAATAATTTGTTTGATATAACAAATTTATACAGGGTTATTTATTTACTGACTACTTCAGACACGTGTAGTAGGAACAGTGCCACAGTAACAACGTTAATATGCAAAATGTTATTGCCGACATAATGCAATTGTAATGAATAATAATAGACCAATTCGGAAAATCATGTGAAAATGTCGATATGATTGCAAGTAAAAACATCTTGTTCGAAAGGGTATTTCTGAGTAATCAGTGATATATAGAATTTAATGGCAGTCAAATCTCCATCTCAATTTTATCGACTTCAAAAAAGCCTTCGACAGCGTTGACCAAAAAGTTATTTGGAAACAACTTCAACACTATGGCTGGCAGCACACCAAATCTTTATCAGCCTCATCTAATACATACATGACAATGCCACTTGTAAAGGGATTCACAGCGGTAAGCTCAGTTAAGTCTTCGCAGTGTAAGAATTAGAAACAAGAAACTTTGTCTGGGAACAAACGAACCAAGAGCCGATTGCTCAACATATATGAAGAGAAAATGGAGATGAATTGGAAATAAGCTGAGAAGACTGTCGAATTACATTGCGCACAATGCAGGCCATCATTCAAGTGGGTAACGATGAGTGACATTGACGTTCAAGAGTGACGTGAAGGAGATCGCGTAGACGGGAGATGAAGGTCTACGGGTGATTTTGCGGCTAGCTAAAGTGGATAGCAGAAAGTGAAACAAAGTGGAGATGTGTTGTTAAAGACCTATGTTCCACCTGGAACCCAAAGGACCAATAATAATAAGTGATACATCAGTGTGTGTTATATCCTAAAAAGGATTCTGTCATGGAGTTGAACTTCAACATATTAATCAAGATCTTTCTACATATGCATATATGTCACCGATAATTATGTTAGGAATAATTCGCTGTTTGACTCAATGAATTCCTTTAAATTCCTCTTTCACATCAAAGAGAGAAAAGGTAAGAAAATATTGACTTTTACGCCAGTAGTAAATTTTTTAATTTATCACAGAGAATTTCATGGAAATTATTTTTAATTTATTGAGATTAAGATTATGGAAAATAATTTAATACATAACTGCTTCTATTCCGACTGAATCAAGTTGTTTCACGTTTACCCTGGAGAAGATTAATAAACTGAGAAATACATTTTCATTCCTACTTTGTTATCCACTAGTCAATTTTGTTACTTTTAAGCCATCTTACAAGTAGATGCTTATCACGTCATCTTACTCAGATCGCATTGCAATGAAACTACGTCAATGATAATTGAACTGTAGTCACTCACACATAAACTCTCACTTCGATAATGATAGCTATCTTTCTACAAATTATTGAGTGTCCACTTAGGTTATTTCTGTGTTCAATGCATAGTCGGTTACACTTTCACGGCATTCACATTTATGTGATAGCTATATGTATGTATATAATGGAATAAGGAAATACAGTCGCACTGGAAATGACTTTGTCTGGTATACATGAACAACAGAACAGTATGATGGGCGCATCAACTAGCATTTCGTTTACCTTATTGGTAGACTTTTACTGTTTACACTGTATACGGTAGTTATAAACGAGCCTTTTCACAAGTTGTTCGATTAATATCTGCAAACATTTATCGGGAGATGTCGTTGAGATAATGGAAAGCAAAATATTGGGTTTCCATTGATTCTAACGAACTACATCAGGATACTTTAAGTTACATGCTTTGTGCGTTGAAGCATTAAGTGCTAAGCAATTTTACATGTTTTTGAAATTGTGATTTCGCAAAGTGACAATTTCACTAATTATATACTAACCAAAGAATAGAACTGTATTTTTCTTAAATTATCGTCATCACTAAGACTATTAGCAAATTCTTGCAAGTGAG